ATTTACAAAATTAAAAAAATTCGACTAAATTTATCAATTTCAGGACTCCTGTTGTTGTGTGTTTTTTTTCTCATATGGGGTGTCAAAAACCAAGGCGCACGCGGACGCTAAACATAGAAAAAACTTGGATTGGCCTTACTACGGTATTTGAATTTTGAGCGTTGTCAAACAAACAAACAAACAAACAAAAAAGGATTGAAACTATTGAAATTTTGATCAAGATCTCCCTACATTTTAGAAATACAAATGTTATTTAAAATTGCTATTCTTAATTGAAATGGAGGACAATTAAATATAAGGGGGAGGGGGTCAAACAAGTGTTTATTGAGCATGACATTGCATGTATACATACGTACCTTTTCAAGGGTGTTTTTCTTCTGTTGAATAAATGCACCATTTTTTTTTCCTTTTCTCTACAGTATTCAAAATACATATGCAAGATACATTTCAATTCCCGTAAAGTTTTAGTAGTATCACGAAAGCATCGCCGTAGAAAATTTGAGCTTTTGACCCATAGTAAAATAGATCAAGATATTTCATACAAAAAGAAAGTCGATAGGTTGACTTGCTTGCCTGTTGTTAAATGTCCCTCTGGAGATTTTTTTATGCATATGAAGACGCTACCACTTGCCGGTTAAGAGCTACATAATTTGTACTATGTTCGGCACTCAGGCGATTGAGCAGTGTGGGATCTTTTTCGTGCCAGCACCAACTGCGACAGGGGACCTCGGTTTATAGGGTCTCATACGAAGGACCAATCGCCACGTTTCACAGTAAGGATCAACTTTTTACTTAGCGACTCTAGAGCAGACGATCTTACCACTGCGCCACGCGGGCGACAGATAGGTTGGAAAAGGAGCCCATACAAACATAAAGCATTTGGAATCGTTTTTAAGCTAACAAGAATGCAAATATGTTCCTCAGAGTGGGTGTTTGTTCGGTATAGGTAAACTTTGCATACTTTTGCGCTTAAATTTCCGCATGCGATTATTGAAAAAGTAAGTTTTTTGATAGAATATAAACGACATTACTTACCACTCCAGTCATCTTCATGCACCTTGTTCATTTACTGACGTGATTCGAAAAGCAAAAAAAGAAATTAACCACCGTTTGGTTAGTAAACAATGTATACGATGTCGTTGATTGGCCAACAAGTGTGAGTTTAGGTACCAGATGGTGGTGTGTGCCCAACCTTTCAGAGACACGGTTGTCCCCAGCATTACGTCAATTCAATCTAGGCAATACTTGAGACCAAATGATTTTGGTGTTTGTCAACAGTGCCGAGAGAGAATCCAAAGAATTATATATGCTATGACGCAAAACACATGATGAAATTTGACCAATGTCATTGCCATCGCAATGCAGAACCAGATATTGTGGTGGATCTTCATACCTTAACATTAATTTGGGAAGATGTCGCTATCTCATGTCGGATATTAGCCTTTAATGTGAATAAGCCAATTTAGAAACCCCCCCCCCCCGCCCCATTTCGACCAGCAGGACCAAAGGCATGCAGTGTAATTGTTGAACCAACAATCCATATTCTTACATCTTTTGAAATACATGTAAAAAAGTCGGTAATTACATTGTAGTTCAGTTTGCAAGCATCGAAAATCGCGTTGTAGACGGTGGAATTTCCAGTTTTTGTAATGGCGCAAGTATGAATACCTATCTTAACAGATCTTTTTATACATTTTGAAACGTGACAAAAGGATAATAATACAAGATGTAATTGATCGGTATAATATTTTTTTTTATTAGCTCACCTGAGCTGAAAGCTCAAGTGAGCTTTTCTGATCACCCGTTGTCCGTCCGTTTGTTGTAAACTTTCCACATTTTCAACTTGTTCTCAAGAACAACTGGGCCAATTTAACCACACTTGGTACAGAGTGTCCTTGGATGAAGAAGAGTTTAAACTGTTAAAAATGAAGGCCACCAGAGCTGAAAACTCGTGACCCCCATTGTCCGTCGTCCGTAAACTTTTCACATTTTCAACTTCTTAAGAACCACTGAACCAATTTTAACCAAATTTGGAACAAAGCATCAAAGAATGACCAGGAGTTAAATTGTTAAAATAAATGGCCAAAACTCTTTCCAAGGGGAGATAATCAAGAAAAGATAAAAATAGGTAGGGTTATTTAAAAATCCTCTCAAGAACCACTAGGCCAGAAAAGCTGAAACTTACATATAGAAGCTTCCTGGGGTAGTGTAGATTCTAAATTGTTTAAATCATGACCCCCTCCCCCCGAGATGAAGGGCGGGCCAAAATAAGGAATTCAAATTTTACATTGAAATATATCTTAGGAAAAACCTTGAAAAATCTTTTCAAGAACCACTGGGCCGGAAAACCTGAAATTTATTTGCAGGTATCCAGGGGTAGTGTATATTTTAAATTATTCTAATCATGACCCCCGAGGGTAGGGCGGGGCCACAATAGGGAATCTAAGTTTTTTTTTCTTCTCAAGAACCACCGGGCAAGAAAAGTTTACTTATGTGGAAGCATCCTGGGTTAGTGTTTATTTTAAGTTGTCCAAGTTATGACTCCTGAGGGTAGGTTTGGGTCACAAAAGGAAATCTGGTAAAGAACAGATTGGTCAAAGCTAATCTCAGGTAAGCGATGTGGCCCATGGGCTCTTGTTCGAATTGAAATTTTATAATTTACAGCTATCTTATATACAATTTGATTATAATCAGATTCTTTCATCCACTCAAATAGATCGCTATACAATGACTTGAAGAGACTCCGTTTAGGATCATCGGCTGGTAACCTTTCCAATAAAAATATTGTTTTGACCAATTAGAGATATCGTAATTAGGTGTCATTCGGGAAAATGAATGCAGATTTATATGTAGCTGTGGAGAAGATTTAATCGTCTCGTACCAAACAAAGCACTAAAAACAAGACAAAAACATTTACTAAATACATTAATGTACAGAAAAGACCGTGGTCGTTCTTTTTGCAGGCTTCATAAAACCACGTCATAATTTTCCATTTGTGTATCATCGGGGCTTTTACTTCTATAACTGAATTCCGTGATACTTCTAAATTTTTGGAAGGAAACGTTTGTTTGGATAATTGAAAGGTCACCCAGGAGATGGCCCAAAATGGAAATTCTTCAAACCCATGTTTAGTGATCTAAATGAGCAGATCAAAGTCTCCGATTGAAATCAAATCGTAAATTGTATGGGTACCCCCTTTAAATGAATATAAACCGCATCAGTTGAAGTTCATTCTCGTTATCAAGTAATTTTGATTGACTCTGCTGCCGCTACCTTGCATAAAAAATTCAAAAATATTATTATACAGGCAAATTCAAGTAGCTCAAGTACATTCCTTTCTGTAAATGTATACCGCGATCTCTCTGTAATCGGAAGGTCGAGGGTTGGATCCCTAGTCGCCATTGAATTGAGTCGATATAAACTTAGGTATCAACTATTTCTTTGCCAATCCCTATGAAATTTGAAATGAAATGTGGGTCTTTCGGATGAGGGAATATATGTTGAGGTCTCATGAGTGAAAAAAAATCTCAAACGGGACGTAAAATAACATATTATCATTCAACAATCATTTCCTTGTAAAACTCAAACCAGAAGTCTCTGTCGAGACTGAAGCTCTACTGGTTTGTACTTATAGCAAAGGAAGAAAAAAGTACTTAAGCAGTTGGGAATTGAAACTTTACAACAACAATAAATATAATAATGATCCTTGATAAAGTCTCTTTATGTTCTTAGTGTAGTCTACTTGCATGCCACGTTATATTATAATCAGACTAAAACTGTATTTAGAGTAGCATTTTGAGAGTATTTAACAGACATTTCTGTTTTTAGTAACCAAGGCAATAATGATCACCGAAGTCAAAAACCGATATGCAGAATTGTGTATCTTCGTGTAGTCTACATATGTTCCAAGTTATATTGAAATCAGACCAAAACTGTAGGAGGAGTAGCATTTTGAAAGAACTTCAAAGACATTTCGATTTTTAGTTACCACGGCAACGCCGTTCATCCATTTCAAAAACCGATACACAGAATTATATATCTTAGTGTAGTCTACTTGTGTGCCAAGTTATATTGAAATCAGACCAAAACTGTAGAAGGAGTAGCATTTTGAAAAATTGTTTACAGACGGACGGACGCCGGACGCATTACTATCGCATAAGCTCTTCTGGTCTCTGACCAGTAAAGCTAAAAGTAAGGTTTATATGACTTTAATTTTACCCTGAAGCTCCTTATTTGAAGCAAGTTGAATTACTTAAAATCAAAGTCAAAATTCTTTTCAGATTCCCGGCAAATTAATTTCTGTCAGACATCAAACGAATATTTTAGGGTTTTCATACATAAAGGTAAAAATGCTTTAGAAAATATATTATTCAACTTAAGTAACATACGCAAACATACTATATACAGGGTTATTTTCGCCCCGCTTTATTTTCACCCATTTACACTTTTGTTTAAGAAATCATACTGTATTCTTTGAATTCGTCGCGTTTTAAATTCGCCCATCCGAGTTAAGGGCGAAAATTTCCCTGTATACAGTATATATTTATTAGGAAATATATTTATTCTAGATTAGTAAAATCGGAATTGGTCTTTATTGAGAGTGATGTCACTACCAGTATAGCTGTTCCATTCTTTATTTCTCTAGGATAGAATACTCGTATCGTTGGGAAATATAACAATTTCATTGATTCGATTATTATGCACCACATAGTCCTATACATGTATTGAATAGAGGTCGAACCTCTTTTGGTGGGTGTCCCTCCTCGTATACCTACAGTTAACGTTAAGCAGCAGAAACAAAATTGAGTTTAGGCAGTAAGTTATACCTTCCGGCAATCTATCTTTATTGTTGCTCTTAGGCCCAATCTCCCACTCATCCAAAAGTAGAAAGGAGGGAGAAATCAATTCAAGGTCAACGAGCAACCTGTTGTTTATCAGTCTCTCAATAGCTTTTGAATTTCTTCACTACTCTGTTTCCCTTTTTTTGTCAGTGGGGAATGTGAATTCAAATTTTGGTATACTGCGTGGTAGAAAAGCACATCACCTGCGGTTGAATTGGGATGGATTATTTTCATCTGCTAGGTAGTGATTTTGCAGTAACAGCGTATAAATAGTTTCATGTACTGCTTTTCTATTAATTGATTTAACTAGAGTTGACACACAGGACGTATTTAGATATGCTTAAGCTTAGTTGTTTGACACTTTTACTCGTCTTATCTTATGCTTCTTTAATGGAAATGATACAACTGGATTTTAAGATTTGTGGAGTAAAGTGTTTGACTGGGAGAGCTGTGAATAAGTTTATCCTTCACTTGAAGTGTCGAAATAATACTCAAAAGGTAATTAATTCCGGAAGGAACACTTGTCTGTTGCAGTCATATCAGCAAACCAGTATCAATAAAGGGCAAATGAAAATAACGTATGATTCAGAATTGGATGAAAAAGATTGTCATTTGTAAGTATGCCTAAAGCAGAGAGTGAAGTAGTTATATGAATTTGATGTTTTTATGTTCTTATGGTAAGGTACATGTTTGTTTGCATGATAAATTCATTATTTTAAGATTTCAACGCAATTGTGCTGTGAAAAAAAAATCTTGCTGCGCTATTTAAGCTGTTCGATTTTTCCCCTATATTTTATTGAAAATCTGCGATGTTAAAAACCTTCAAGTGTTTAATTAATCTGCAGACATTAATGACAATAATTACCAGACCGACATGAACATCATTTTTCAATACCGTAACGGTTGAAAAGTAAAGTTGCCTACAGTGTTCTATCACGATTAAAAATGAATTGTTCAGCAACCAATTCATCTCCAGGAAATTTTATAGCATCCCTTATTTTTTTCAGTTACAAAGTCATGGAAATAAAAGAAAATAATTGACTCTAACCTTGACACTCTATGATAATGTGAGGTGCACCCCCCCCCCCCCCAACGAGAAAAAAAAACACAGACCATATTTACATCCCCCATAATCTTGAATTTCAGGGACAAAGTATTTTACAATAGATAAAAATTACGAGATTTTACAAGCTCCAAAAAACATTACGTACATTTATTTTTTAAGCAAACAACAATGCAAGAGAAAATTAATATATATTGTAGTGTCCTTTATTAACTTTTCTTTTTCCAGAGTGCAAATCCTCCATGTTTCCTGATACTAAAAATTGTTTAAGAGCAATGTTCCTGCTGAAGACATGACTACATGTAATTCTCTCTTTCAACGCCTTCAGAAACTTTGAGAATTAAGGAAAAGAATTATTTTGTTTACACGTAAATGGATTGGCAAGAATTTATTGCATTTTTTCCGTGGCTGATGAAGACGATTTAAACAAATTCTTACACAAACAAGTAATCCAGACTAAAATTAAAAATTTTTGTCACTTTGAAATACGGATAGGCATTTAGATAATTGAGTCAAAAAGTACGTTATCCTTAACGGATTTGTCAAATTATTTTCTACAACCACACATCAGGTAGATGCAAGCGTTTACTAGAATCAAAAGGCATTTAGTTTGAAGCCTTGGAATTTTAATTTATATGAAACCGTTTTTAAATGGATAAAATTGACTTTTTGACTTAAATCAAACATGAAAATGCTAAAATGATACTTATTATAATTTAAACATTTCTATACGACATCTTCCCAGTTTTACGAAAAATTAAATTTTATGGAAATAATTTACGTGGTTGTACGCATTTAGCACAGGAAAGTTATTCCGACTCTGAAATTATGCATGATGTATTTTTTGTGCTATAATTTCCTGAAGTTATTTGCAAATCTATTGATTATTACAGAGACGAGAAGACAAACTGGCTAGAGACATTATCTCATGATATGAAAATAGGGGTGGGGGTGTCAAATTAAGAAATATGTCATTAGATGGACTCCAATCACAGCTCAAAGACAAGTCAATTTGACTAAAGGAAGAATGTTTCTAATTAAATATTTTGTAAAATTTGGTTATTGATACTTTTTAGCTCTACTGGTCAGAGACCAGAAGAGCTTATGCGATAGTAATGCGTCCGGTCCGTCCGTCTGTCTGTCTGTCCGTCTGTCTGTAAACAATTTTTCAAAATGCTACTCCTCCTATAGTTTTGGTCTGATTTCAATATAACTTGGCACACAAGTAGACTACACTAAGATACATAACTCTATGTATCGGTTTTAGATTTTGATGAAGGGTGTTGCCTTGGTTACTAAAAATAGAAATTTCTGTGAAAATCTTTCAAAAAGCTACTCTTCCTACAGTTTTGACTTGAATTCGATATAACTTGGCACACAAGTAGACTACACTAAGATACATAACTCTGTATATCGATTTTTGATTTCGATGAACGGTGTTGCCGTGGTTACTAAAAATAGAATTTGTGAAAATCATTCAAAATGCTACTCCTCCTACAGTTTTGGTCTGGTTTCAATATAACTTGGCACACAAGTAGACTACACTAAGATATATAATTCTATTTATCGGTTTTTGATTTCGAAGAACGGTGTTGCCGTTGTTACTAAAAATAGAAATTTCTGAAAATCATTCAAAATGCTACTTCTCCTACAGTTTTGATCTGAATTCAATATAACTTGGCCCACAAGTAGACTACACTAAGATACATAATTCTGTTTATCCATTTTTGATTTCGATGAATGGTGTTGCTGTTGTTACTTAAAATAGAAATTTCTGTGAAAATCTTCCAAAATGCTACTCTTCCTACAGTTTTGGTCTGGTTTCAATATAACCTGGCACACAAGTAGACTACACTAAGATACATAATTCTATTTATCGGTTTTTGATTTCGATGAACGGTGTTGCCGTTGTTACTAAAAATAGAATTTTTTTTGAAATACATTCAAAATGCTACTCTACCTACAGTTCTGGTCTGATTTCAATATAACTTGGCACACAAGTAGACTACACTAAGATACATAATTCTATTTATCGGTTTTTTGATTTCAATGAACGGTGTTGCCGTTGTTAATTAAAATAGAATTTTTTTTGAAATACATTCAAAATGCTACTCCTCCTACAGTTTTGGTCTGATTTCAATATAACTTGGCCCACAAGTAGACTACACTAAGATACATAATTCTGTGTATCCATTTTTGATTTCGATGAATGGTGTTGCTGTTGTTACTTAAAATAGAAATATCTGTGAAATACTTTTAAAATGCTACTCTAAATACAGTTTTAGTCTGATTAAAATATAATTTGGCATGCAAGCAGACTACACTAAGATACATAATTAACAGTTTTGTGTTTTTGATTTTGATGATTTATGTTTCCATAGTAATTTAAATTGAAAATTCAGTAAAATTTTATTAAAAGCTACTCCTACAGCTGTAGTCTTATGGCAATCGTGCCTCAAAAAGAGACTTAATCAAGGATCATTATTCTATTTATTGCTTTTGTAAAGTTTTAAGTCCAACTGCTACTTTTCTTTTCTCTATTATACCGGGAAGTACAAACCAGTAGAGCTACAGCCTCGACAGAGACTTCTGGTTTAGGAGAGGGATGTTAATACACCTGTAAAGGCCAGATATAACATAATGATTAAATTTGTTTCTACTATAAGCAAAAATTATAAGGAGCCTCGGGGACTTTACCCTTGGATCCATGCCAGGGCTTTGTCCTGGACTTCCTTGGGAGATAAACCCTTGCCTCTGAAAAACATTCAACCCTACTATTTCTTTGATCTGTGTCTTCTGGACCTTTCATAATTATCTTTTTTTATCGGAGATGAAAATCAAATCAATTTACACTATGCAAAGCGGACACTATAATAGTTTACTATTATGATAGATCCCATTTTCGATTAAAGCATGTTACAATTTCTTTGTGTACAAAATTATATATCTCTATTTAGTTTAAATTTTAGTATACTTGTAACTAACTTTCAGATCAACTTTTCCTTACATGTATATATATTTAAGAAATGAATTTAATTTTTAAAGATTCATGAGTTTATGAACTACGACGCTTCACGTCGGCATATTTAATGAAGCGCGTTAGGGCTTCATGATAAATATGCAGGCGTGAAGCATTGTAGTTCATGTACCTCATGAATCTTTCTAAAGAGTTCATTTCTTATATTTACATTATTTTTCTGCTGACTTGCCATTAATTTACGCCGTTCAACTGTCATTTTTAAAACAAAACAGTGTGCACTATATTTTTTGACGCCAAGAGCGGTATTATGACGTAACAATGGAGATTTTCATGCTTATTCGTGGTACATACCTAATGTAGTTCATGAGAAAATATACTGCATTTTATTTTGTAAAGAATCATATGGGAAATTTATTGGAAATGTAAATAATCCATAATGATTCAAAAGAAAGAAATTGATACAAAAAAAATTAAATCGTAAAGGAATTAAAAAAATGACTTGTAACATGTATTGCAAGGCAACTAATTAAGGGATAAAACAAAACATGCAGCATTTGTTCATTTTCTCAAAATAAAAAAAAAAATTACTGTCTGCCGCTGAGATAAGTTTGATCAGAAAAATACCTGTATCGTTTCCCCAGGTTTGATCCACGGATCAGGCTTTTATATACAACGCTATTCTATAGAAATGGCTAAGGTAAGACTTGATTTCAAAAACTAAATATATAGATTTTGTCAATAAGAAACACAAGTATACTAGTTTTAAATATCAAAATTTGGGTATGTATGTGTACAATCAGAATGCTTTTAAACAGTAGATTTCGTGAATGACTACTGACGTGAATGACTACTGACTAAGTTACGGTATGAACATTTACAAGTTCTATTTTTATTGAAAAAGCAGCCGTCTATGATGTCAAAAAGTCTGGAGGTGAACTTCACAGTTCATTTTCACAATGGGGAATGGCTATATAAAATGTTGAAATGTTATTTATTTAATAAATTCGTGATCTAAAGATTTCTAGTAGTTGCTTGAGGTTTTTGGAATTCGCAGATGATTAGCACCGCGCCTCTCTTAGTAAATTGTTTTACGGTAATCCTAAAAACTTTTCCTTGCTATTATTTTTATTGAGGATTAAAGAAAATTAAAGGGAAAGTATAATTCTTGCAGGATTAGAATACATATGAAGATCACAATATATATATATATAGAAGGGTCACACCTGTAAATCTGTCGGGCACTGTATATATATATATATATATATGCAAAATGTTTTTTTTTATTTCATACACCGGTATCAGAATGAAGGATATACCATTTGGATTCATTACACCTATATATATATATATATCTTTGTTTACATTTATTCTTCAAAATCTTATGTCAGTTTTAAATATTTTTAATATTCCAATAACCAAAATGAATTTGAATTACCATATCTATAATGGATTCCGAAACTTCATAAAAATCCTTACACATACCAATAAAAAATAGCAAGTTTAAAAAACTTGAATGGGAATTGAAGTGGGTTGGTCGCGTGATCAAATCCTGCTAAGGCCGAAGATTTGAT